GCAAGAGAGTCCAAGACACTGTCAAGAGTTTTGTAACTTTTTTCCTCCCGTTTTTTTAAAAGTGTAACGGCCCAAGGCAAGTTAAGAAGAACGATTTGGTGCGTCTCCCCCCCCCCTCTTTTCCCCGATCATATTTTCAGTTTTAATCGCCGTTCCTATTTAGGGTTCCCTTTAGCGCTTCCTTCTTTATGACTGTTATTTCTTTTTCTTTTTCACCTCCTTCAAGCCCAAGGTTCAACGCCAGCCACTTGTCCTTTTATTTACCCTTTTCTCTCTCTCTCTCTCTCTCCTCTTTTTTTGTCCCCCTCGAAACGAGGAGCAGATCTACAGGAAAAGCTGGCTCTCTTGAATGTTGTTGCTGCTTGCTTGCTTTGTTAGCTCCCCCCCCCGCCCTGCTTTATTTTTTTTAGATTTAGACTCATCCTTGCAAATCATACCAGGGCCCCAGTCATATCTCTAAGTTTATTTAATAGCTCAGTGGGTTAGCTGCTTGCCTTCCACGCTGCGGAATGGCCGTGACATTTATTTATTTATTTATTTATTTATTTATTTATTTATTCATTCATTCATTCATTCATTCATTCATTCATTCATTCATTCATTCCCAGAGTTTTGAAACAGAATTTAACTTCAGCGCATAATAAATGATTTGATTCGAAATAGAATTCTACTCCTGTGAGTTAGCCAGAGGCTGAGTTCAAATCCCCACCGGACCTCCTGGGAGAAGAGCCAGCCTGGGTGGCCTTGGGCCAGCGGCAGAGTCCCACAGCGCCCCTAGAGGAAGGGAAGGGTAAACCACTTCTGAGTATTCTCTGCCTGGAAAGGCTTTCCAATCTGACTCCAGCTGAGCATTTCACCTCCGGAAAGGCTTTTCTGTGATAGCTTGTTGGTTCCACTGGTTCCTTTCTCTCTTTTCTTAATGCTCTTGCCACAGTATTGTCATTTTGTATCCTATTTTAGTGTTCTGCTGTGATGTTTTGTTTTTAATCTTCTGTAAACCGCCTAGAATAGTGGTTCCGCCCTAATGCAGTGATGTATCAATTGAAGTAATAAATAAATAAATCAAATATTGTTGCAATTCCCAGAAGGATTAGTGGTAGCTACTGGCTAGACAGGCTGCCTGGAGAATTCTGGGAGTTGTAGTTCCCCAAAGTGACCATTCTAACCATAATTGTGTCAAGTTGATCTGGCTTACAGTGACCCTTTTGGCAGAAACTCCTCCCTCCTTCTGGGGGCATCTCAGGACGTTGCAGCTGGCCCAAGGCTACCCAGGCCGGTTCTTCTCCGAGGAGGCCCAGTTGGGGGGAATCGAACCCCCAACCTCTGGCTCCACAGCCAGAGACCTGAACCACTGAGCTACCCAGCCAGCTCTCCATGTTTATTTATTGTTTTTATTCTACTTCTCAATAGGGTTGTGTGTTGTCCATCAAAGCAGCTCAGAAAAAAAATGAAGCGAGTCCAGCCCTGTAGAACCAGAAGAGGGTTAGAGATGGAAGGGAAGGGCCGTGGAAAGATGAAGGAGCCAGATTGGTTGTCTAAAGCCAGAACGGGAGGACAAGCGCTCTTACCTGTTCCTCCTGCCCGAATATCGATCAGTAACTTTTGTTCCTTTGGGTGACGGAGCAAAGCTGTGTTTGCTGTGGGATTTCTTTTCGGTAGGGCGAGGAGAGCAAACGCCCAGTGGCTGCTATGGATGAGGTCAAGTTGGCCAACCCTCCATGGCCTTGTAGGACAGGCAGCTGGTTTAGCCCTCTGTGGTCCCAGATCCCCAGGCACAAACGAGTATGTCCAGTGCCAGGCTGAGGTATAAGGAAACTGTAACTCAAAGCCTCAGAGGATGAGGGCTAAGCAACTGGAGAGGGAAAGGACTCAAGTTTTACATCATTGTTCGAATGATATACTTTCCTCAAGTAACTCTACCAGATCTCCCAGTGCAGACATAGCTTGGAGCTCCAGCATGTCTGGATCCAGACCGGAGCATGCCCTTCTCTCTGGGGCAGATGTGAAGAGCCAGTTGCTCTCTAGATGGGCAGCAGCTCCTATCGGTGTTAGCCAGCAGAACCAGCAGTGAGAGGTCACTGCAGTATCGGTGCTGGATAGCTCAGTGGCTTAGGTGTGGAGCCAGACAATGGGAGTTTGATTCCCCCACTGGGCCTCTAAACAGGGGCTGGTGGTCCCTAGCATCCCTTCAAGTTCTGCAGTTCCATTATTATTATTATCATCTTCAGGACAGACCCATTTCCCCCCAGCTCTGAGGAAGAGCACGTGGTGCCCTTCTCAGGATGGGGGAAACCACATGCTAAAGCACATGATGTCCTAAACATAGGAGTCTACATGGAAAGGAATGGGTGTTTGCAATTCCAACATGGAACATCGATGTCATGAGCAAGTTGATCTTTTTTTAAAAGCCATAAATACCATGCCAAACCAGCTGAAATGTATTTCAGTGAGATATTTCATGGGTTGACAATCCACTTCGGTGTTTGTTTTCTCAGATACTCCTTTGAAAACAAAAAAGACACTCTCTTTCTCTTGCACACATACACAGAAACACTTCCAGAATCACTCCAGTCTTTATCAAATCATGTTATGCAAAAATGCATGCTAGATAAAGTCCCAATAAGCATTATGTTGGATAAATGTCTTATGAAAGACATTTGACTTATGAAAGACAATTATCCAATGTAATGCTTATTGGGACTTTATCTAGGTTTACCTAGCGTACGTTTTTGCATAACGTGATTTGTTGAATAGTGGAGTTTCATAAGACATTTATACTGGATTATGCCAAGTCATTTTATAATAAAATCTGTTGCTCTTGTAAGAGGGGAGGTAGATTTGGATTAACTATTAAGACAATGGTTTTCTTGGCTCAAAGAATCTTTGGATAATAAAAAATATTGCCTCTGGTTATGGAAGGAAGAGAGAGGGGGAAAAATACCAGTGGAAATATGCAGAACACACTTCGAGCAGACGTTGATGCCGGCTGCAAATAAAGGCCATGTGTCAACTCCCGTAGGTGAAATGGAAGCGCAAAAGCAGGATCTCACAGTAGCTGCTGTGGGATTTGGAATGGTGAGCCCTAGAACTTCCCCATGTGAGAGAGGCCTCCTAACTTTTCAGGGGCAGTGAGTGATTCGAAAGGGTGGTTGTGGGATTTAGGGGCACTGATGCCCACCCACCCCCAGACCTTGGAGGGCCATCCATTCCTGCTTTCCATGTCTGACCCCAAGCTGTCCCCTGATTTAGGGGGGAAAATTATTCAGAAAGTTGCATTGCACTCCTTTGGGGTCAGTAAGGCCCTTTCACTATGTTTCCCCCAACGCTCCAGCGGCTTGATCCCTAGGAGAAATATTTTTTTTTCAAAACCATCAGTGGCTGTAGGTCCTGGGGAGGAGAAAGGGCTGCCCTCAATCCTTTGAGATCTATACGTGACCCACATGCCACATTTTGCCCTCCCCAAGCCTAGGGGAGGAAGAGAAATGTCCAGACCCCCCCCTTGCCCCACCATCCCCGAAATAGAGGGTTGCTTCCTTTTGCACCTCTGGATCTAATCTTTCTGTCTCAAATGCAAATACAATTAAAAAAATAGATAGCAAAAGAAGAGGGGAGGACTCAACTGAAGAAACAAAACACCATCGTGACATTAATGTGGACAGAACAAGAGTAAATTAAGGCCAGCCTTCCACCACAGCTCCTAACTAGAGTAGGCTTGTTTACTCAATGAGATGTATGTTAGGTATGGATTTGCCATTCAGCAACGGATTCCTTGCCTGTGTGACAGCTTTGTGGGTACCCTGGACAGCCAGAAGGACAGACAAGTGGGTCCTAGATCAAAGCAAGACTGATTTTTATTTTTCTGGAAGCAAGAAGAAGGCTAAGACTTTCCTACTTTGGGCACCTCCTGAGGAAGCAAGGATCGTTTGAAACTTCAATAATGGTTGGAAAAGTTGAAGGCAGCAGGAAAAGAGGAAGATCAGCTACAAGATAGATGGGCTCCGTGAATGAAGCCCTTCAGACTTGCAGGTTGCTGAGCGGGGCTGGTTGAGAATGGGACACTCATTCATGCAGGTGACTGAAGTTGGAGGCAGCTTGACAGCATTTAAGAACAACAACAAAGCTCTACCTGGAAGTAATGAATAGGTTCCTGGCCGAAGTCTATAAATCAGTTCAAAGTACAAGAGCGCAGTGGCAGAAAATGCAGGAATCTGCAGGTGGCGATAGCAGCGGATGCCTACGGAGGCTGGTGAGGTGGAGAGCAGGATCACCAGAGACAGCGCCAACCGCATCGAGTTGGCCACCCAGCCCTTGTCCCTTGTGTGGTCTGAGTGCAACTGATACTGGACCCGTGATGCTTAGCAGGAACATGCCCACCCAACCCTACCCAGAAGTGGGACCCCCTTTAGTTGCAGCAGAAATCTCCAGCATCTTTTATTAAGAGATCTGTGAACGATCCTGGTGAGCTCATGCCGTTCCGGCAGGAAGGGCCATCTCTCCGATCAACCATACTTGCTTGAGGTAAAGGACAGGATGGTGGCCCCTTCCTCATCTCTTTCAACAGAAGGTGACTGGACAGCCCACAGCACCTCAAAGGGCAGGCTGGTTTAGGGGCCAGGTGGAAGAAACTCTGGTCTGACTTCCAAAACGGGGCCACCCTTCATGAGCTCAAGAGGAACCACTTGAGGGCTGGCCCGTTTGTCTCCCAGCAGAAGCCAGCTAAGGCAGTTGGCTCATTCTGCCTAATGTTACGCCCGGCCCTGCTAATAACAAAATCCCAAGAAGAGGTCAGCCCTATGGGGATTTGTGTGTGTGTGTGTGGTTCCCCCCCCCTGCAGAACAGCCGCCTGTCACTCCATTTCAAAGGCAGTTTACAACGTGGTTTGAGTGACAGCAGTACTACTTGAGGAGATGCTCTCTTGGGCTCAAAGAGTTAATTTCACAGCCTTTGGATGCTGGCTTTTCCTTCTGACCTTATTATGACTGACGGGCTGGAGATATTGTTCTCGGAAATTCTGCTTTGCTCCCTGGTTCAGTGAGTTGTGTAACTCTCTCAGTCTGGCATACAGTAGTTACTGGAACTTGAGTGACAAGGGATTTATATAAAAGCAACTGCTCCCATGAAAGGTTTAGACGTCTGATGCTCCCACATTTGTCCTAAGCCCTGTTCCTTTCCTCCCTGCGCCCCCAAATATAGCTGGGATTCAAAGATATTTTGGCTCCCTCTGAGAAATGGCTGCCCCGGGACGAAAGTTAAGCCCCTCGCCAAGACAGAAAGGAAGGGCTCCATGCCAGGATTCCCCCGGGGAGCTTTTCCAGAGCTCGCTGATGCCACAGCAAATCTCCCTCCTGATGTGTTTTCCTGTCCCTTTCCTCAGGCGAGATCCCCAGCTGGATGGAGGGCATCCTTCTGCGCAATGGTCCGGGCATGCACACCGTCGGGGAAAGCAAATACAACCACTGGTTCGACGGCCTGGCTCTGCTGCACAGCTTTACGATCAAAAACGGTAGGCTTGTGTCTCCAACCTCAAGCGATGGCCAAAGACCTTTGCAAGATCAGTCTCCGGCTCGGCTGGGACGGAGGCCTAACCAGACTTTAGAAACAGCCCAAGGCGTACCGGCAGTTCATCAACCATCAGATTAGAGACACGCTATGGAAGAATTATCTGGCTGTGGGGCCAGACACTGGGAGTTCAAAGTCCCACTGTGTTTCTTGGGAGAAGAGCCAGCCTGGGTGGCCTTGGGCAAGCTGCGTGGTCCCAGGGTGCAACCCAGGAGAAAGGAAAGGTCAACACTTCTGGATATGGTCTCCTTAGAAAACCCTGGAAAGGATTGCGATCAACATTCCCTCTAATTTTCCACCAGTGCTGGAATTGTGCACACAGTTTTCCGGCTGTCACTGGAACCACACTGGCAGCTACACTGGCTACCGGGTCACAGCACTGTGCAGTCGCGCACCAGCACAGCTTAGAGGGAATATTGGTCGTCAACGTCAGAGCTGACTTGATGGCACGTTGTCATTATTATCGGAAGAAATAAGCCATGTGTCTCTTTAATGGCAGCTATCATTGCAATTCAAGGAAGGATGTATCTGCTCTTAGGTAGACAAGAGGTGACTCCTCTCCTCTCCTGGGGGATTCTGGGAGTTGTAGTCCCCAAAAGTGACATTTCTGAGAATAGTGACTGTATGCTGTCAAGTCAGTTCTGACTTAGGGCAACCTTTTCCAGTGTTTTCCAGGTAGGGAAGACTCAGAAGTAATTTCCCATTCCCTTCTTCTTCTGGGGGTGCCCTGGGATGACTGCAGCTGGCCCAAGGCGACCCAGGCTGCCTCTACCCCCCAGGAGACACTGCAAGGAATCGAACTCCCAACCTCCGCCAAATGCGTAAAAACATTGAGCTCTGACATTAACCATGTCAGTTAAGCAGTTTCTTTGGGCTCAACAAAGGCAGATATGCCTCTGCTTGCCACCGGATGGAGACAGATAACATGAAATGAACAACAGTGCATTCTGACGAGAGGTGGTCAGTCTGTGTAGTGGAGAGGCAGGGAAGTGTAGTGGACAGAGCGATGGGCTTAGACTCGAAAGGCATGGGATCAGATCCCTGCTTAAATATCTCACATTCCTTGAAAGTCCCAATAGGGCCACTGTAGGGTCAATGCAACACGACAGCACACAACAAGCGAGTCTTCGTGTCATCTTGAAAAGCGAATAGTGTTATTTTGCCACAAGCACTTGTGGACAAGAGAAGATGGTGATTCCTGTCCTGCTGTCTGTGTACATTTTCCCCAGAGTTATTAGGATGCTCAGGACTGGACACTTTGGTCTAAATACCACTCAAGGAGATACACTGAACTCATTGACTTGATAAGTCAGGCGTTCCTCGAGTTCTTGCTGATTTAATTGGCTAAGGGGGAATAATAATTGGATTTAGCCCAGAATGCAAGACAAGAAGACAAGAATAAGGCAGGATCCTCAGTTTAATCCATGACAATTTCAGACATGACTGATGTGAAATCATTCCTGTTTTGCTCAATGAAAAACAATCCATTATTTTTGCATTTTTTAAAAAAAGTGCTTTTGAAAAGGCAGTTCAAAGACTGCCTTTCATTTTCTTTTTTACCATTTTTTAAAGTGGGGTACCCCTTGAATTCTTCTAGCATCTTTAGCAAGAGGGAACTGTCATCTAAATTATTGTGTGTGTTCTTGTTTTTTTTTTTTTAAGTTGTCCTTTGAATGTGACTTTAGCCACTTTTCTCCTCGGTTTTAGAACAGCTTCTAAAACTACTGGCTGGCGGAATTCTGGGAGTGATCGTCCAAAAAAGAAAAAGCCACACTTTCAAACTTTGGTGGCTTATTAAAAATTGGGCAGTGTTTGTAAAGTTGATCAGAGGAATCCAACTGTTTAAATACCAAAGTAACCGTTAATTCTTCCCGCTAGTTTGGGGGATGGTTTCCTTTTAAATATCAGACTGGTCTCCCTGTGGATCCTTTTCCCCACAGTTCGATTTTGTTGTACTGGCAAGTGAAAGGAAACATCCACAAAAACGTCAGATAAGGAGGGTGTTTGGGGGCAACCAGCAGTTGAAACACAAGGTTTCCTTCACTGACAAAGTCTGCCATTCTGCAAGATTTGCATTGGAAGCTGAGCCCGAAATTAGGTCACTGTGGCACAGTAGCATGTGAAACAAGTTCCATTGCAGCCTATTCATCGTAGTGACCCCAATAGATGATCCCGAAAGCAAATGACCCGAGATGACCCTAGGCGCTATGTGCCAAAGTTTAGCAATGTTATATAGTGGACTACCACTCCCAGAATCCCCTAACCCACAGGGCTAGCTATGGAATTCTGGGAGCTGTAATTTTAAAAAAAAGGTAATGTTTCCAAGTTCTGGCAAATCGCCCGGGTAATATTTTCTCTTCCTCCTTATCCAGACATTTCCAGCCCATTCTTTCACACTGCTTTTAATGCCTGGAGAATAGTTCTTGATTTGTTTCAAATTCCTCAGGGGTGCTTCTACCTGGCTCTTTTTCCTGTCTGGATAGTGTCTGTGTCTCTGGGAGAGCTGACCCTTTTCTTTCATGCGGGATTTCCTTGCTCATTATTAGTCATTCTGCCTCTTGCTTTTCTTCCTCTAAAAGTTTTCAGTGACTTGCCCTACTAACTGTCCATTTACTAGGCAACCAGCGAAGTGGAGTTGGCTTGTTTCTGATCAAGTGCAATCCTGTTCCCATTTACTCAGAAGTATGTCCCCTTGTATTCAGTGGGACCTACTCTGTTTAGGCTTCCAACTTTAAAAGGACATCCCTATGTCAGTCTTCTCAGAGGCATCCCATGGGGTAAACTCTCCAAGGGAGATTGGTGTAACGTTGCAATAAATAAATAAATTGTCATGTGATGTCGAACCATACTGCAGTTTAAAATGATGTCCAATCCAGTTTTGTTCTGGTTGGATTTTACAGATACTCCATAGTTTGGGGCAGTACAGAACAGTCTGTCTCTCTCTGTTTTTATTATTTTTACTCTCAGCCATCTGTCCACCCTTCTTCTATTCATCATCCCCCTTTCTCTTCCTTGGCCACCATTGTATCCTCATTTCCCCCCCTCTTTCCCACTTCATGCATGCCAATGTGTGATTCCTTAAAAAAAAAACCTTGTAGTTAAACGGCACATCCTCATTTGCAGATAAACATGGTCTTTTAAAAAAAAACAACAACTAGGGCCAAAGAAGAATGCGCTGAAACTTGAGGAAATGTACAGCAGCTGATTTCAGGCTGGTTTGCCCCTAACCCACTGTAAACACCTCCTCTCTGGATTATTGTGAACATGTCATTTCTGCCCGAGTGACAGCTGTGTTTGTGTTCCTCCCATGCTTCCGCTTTACGCACAATTCCTTCCCCTTTTTTACGAAGCAGATGGGGAAATGTGAGAGGAGCTTGGAATCGTTGGATGGCAGCACTGAGCCGGTTTAGGGGGAAAGAACAGAACGGTTCTAAGTTAAGAAATACGGTATCCGGAGGGGAATTCTAGTTCAGGAGAAATACTTACAGGACGGCCGTTGCTGACCCCAGCATTTGCTGCCTGAAGCGGGTGGCTCCCTCCACCTTACAGCAGGGCCGGTTCTGCCCCTCTGCCTCCCAGCCCAGTCTCAGATCGGCATCCCAAAGGAATTCCTTTCCACATGCCTGCTGATGCCAAAGTCCTCCTCTTGTTTATCCTGAAATGATGATGTTATTCCACTTACAGAACACGTACACTGTTCGTCCGTGTGTGCTTGCGATTTGCTAATGACTAACTCTTGTCTTATCTTATCAGGTGAGGTTTTCTATCGAAGCAAATACCTCCGCAGTGACACCTACAAGTGTAACATTGAAGCAAACAGGATTGTGGTGTCAGAATTTGGGACGATGGCTTACCCTGATCCGTGTAAGAACATATTCGCCAAGTAAGCGACTCTTGCCATTCCTGCTTACTAGTAACATGAACGCTTTCTGCTTGCCCTGTGAGTGCCTTGTCCTATACAAGAGGCTTCCCCTGTACTGGGAAGAGGCAACGAGAGTGATGTGCCCCCCCCAATCCAAGGCATGCATCCCAAAATTTTTTTTACCAACACCAAGCTGAACAGGAAACTTGAAATCAGTACTTCCTTGAAGCCTGCAGTGCAGTCTGAAAGATAATGCATGCGGAAAATGCACGCTGCTGCATCTGTGCATGCAAAAAGGAGCATAAAGTGCTTGGAGAATGGGGGTGGGGAGGAAACATGCTCTAGACAGTCTGGGCCTTTCCAATGTACAGACAAAAGTGCCTTCCAAAAATGCTCCAGAAAACTCTGTGTTTTTCAGATTGCGTATGAAAATGAGAACCCGAAAGTGAGCTTGACCGATTTTCCAGGCCCTATTCAAGTGAGAATCTGTGCCCCTTCCAGATGCTACTAGACCAGTGGTCCTCAACCTTGGGCCTCCAGATGTTCTTGGGCTTCAGCTCCCAGAAATCCTGGCCAGCAGAGGTGGTGGTGAAGGCTTCTGGGAGTTGTAGTCCAAACATCTGGAGACGCAAGGTTGGGAACCACTGCACTAAACTACAAGTCCCATTGTCCCACCTATTGGCCATGCTGGTTGTAGCTGATGGGAATGATAGTCCCCAAGCCTCTGATGGGCCACAGATCCCTCACCCCTGCTCTATGCCTTCTTTTCCTTTGGTAAGTGGCCTCCCAGGGAAGAATTTCATCTTACACGTAGAGCAAGTGCTTTGGACACAGAAGTGTTCAGGTCTGGTTAAAAATGGATCAGGTTGTGGGGTGGAGGGGGGGGACCTCTTCTGGTCAAGACCCTGGAATTGCATCATTACAAAGGGGGCACTGGAAACCAAATCCAGCATTGGTGAAGAGTACATTGCATATTAGGTAGACATTAGTCCTACTTAGAGTAGAAACACCAAAATCAGTGAGACGTAAAACAGAATTTGGAAAAGAGGCTTGGAATTATAACCTTCCAAATCTCCAGTTCTTAGTGTTGGATTCTGGGTGCGTTCGTCCAAAAATTAACTCCCTCCAATCTTGGAACTTAAGTTAGCCATTGCTAACAAGCCCTGTTCAATTCATGGTCTACTCTAGGTAGGCCTAGCATTGGATTTAGTGCTTTCATCCATTATCTCATTGTTTCCCTACAACTTTTGAAGATAGGACTTGGGAAATTTAGCTTTGGAAGCGCTGGTTTGCAGGTGTCATCTTGGTAGCGACCCAACATTAGAAGGTTCAACATTTCAAAACTTCAGTGCAAACAGGTACTGACTCATTCTACTAACAGCACAGGAGAGATAGCTTGTTGATCTGCTTGACTCGCGTTGTCTCATCACTTGAGAATTTTAACCTGGTTGCATGTGTGAAGGACATATCACGGAGCAAATGCCATTGAGACCACTTCTCACTGTAGGTTACATGGTACTGTATATTCAACCGGCTTTGTTCACACATTCAGCTGTGCATTATCTAGTATTGCCTAGTCAACTAACATATACGTCTGTATGACCCAACATCTAGTCACCAAGCAAACTGGCTTGGTCACAGTTCGGACTAGAAATGCTGAAAGAAAAGATTATTTCTGTCTCTTCCCCGTCACAGGGCTTTCTGTTATCTCTCCCACACAATACCTGAGTTCACAGACAACTGCCTCATCAATATCATGAAAAACGGTGATGATTACTATGCTACCAGTGAGGTCAATTTCATTCGAAAGATCAATCCGCGGACTCTGGAGACGCTGGAGAAGGTAAATTGGTGGCCTCTGGCATACACATCAGCTTCTCCTCAGCCTGTCCGCCTCAGGCTGCTTGAAGCACAGTTCTCATCATCCCCAGCTATCCACCCTAGCGGGTGTGATGGGAACGGTGGTCAAAGACATCTAGAGGGTAGAAGGGTTGTTTTAAAAAAACGCTGCTGTGTATCGTAGGAGAAACTGCTAAGAAGTGGGAGTGGGTGAATGGTGGAATGGGTAAAACAATATACCTGAACAGGTAAATGGCTTTCCTGTGAGGCAGGGGTGTTCTTGCTGTCATTTATTGTCTGAGGTGATTCACTCACCATTGTTACTGTGTACAAAACCTCCTAGAACGAAACTGAATATCAAACAGGGGTCTTGAAAATCATTACCAGGTGTAAAATGCTGGCCTCCTTAATTTTGGCCATGGATAATTAACAATCATGTTGTTTCTGCTATTGTTATTCTATGGCAGGGGTTCACACACCCTTTCTCAGTACAAAGCTTCAATGAAAAGATCTCATTACCAAATAGAAATCATTATCTGGTGGGAAGTACCACACAATTTGCAACTTACATCTACATTGGTGCCCCGCATGATGACGATAAGCATTCCCATTGAAATCGCTGTTTAGCGAAATCATCGTCATGTGAAATCCATTTCCCCATTGGAATGCATTGAACCCCGTTTAATGTGTTCCAATGGGGAAATACCTCGTCGTCCAGTGAAGATCGCCCATAGGGAAGACATTTTGCGAGCACTAATCAGCTGTAAAAATGGCTGTCCTGCGAAGCATGGGTCTGGAAAACACAGGGCAGCCATTTTGCGAAGCCGACGATCAGCTGTAAAAATTGTCGTCTTGCGAACAAATGGTTTGCAAAGCATGGACCAAATCATCGATAAGCGAAAATCCCCCGTTGGAATGACTGTTTTGCAAATTGCTATAGCGATCGCAAAAAGTCATCGTTATGCAGATTCATCATTTAGTAGGGTTGTCGTCTTGTGAGGTACCACTGTACTAACCAACCAACCATAGTCTCTATATTTTGATGCCATGTAGAATGTAAATGTAGAAAATTTTCCCATGTAATTACACTTTCATGTTAGAGGAAGTGGATTTGATTCACGAAAGCTCACATTAAAATATAATAGATGGTCTTTAAGGTGCCACCATGTGTTTGTCTTTTTTCTTTTCCTTTTCTTTTGATCAAATAAGTGGAAACGTGTCACTACACAAGAAGGAAAGATTTGCATGAAGGTCGCATATGCAAAGACATGTGTGCGGATGTATATTTAGGGATAAGTCTTGTAACCTAGATGGAAACCTAGTACATCTCACCATAGTTGGGCATCCAGCAACCGAGAAGTCTCGTGTTTCTACTGGCCAGTCTGCATTCCAGTCCTCAATTCTTGACTATCAACCTCAAGGTCCCACCTTCCCATTTCCTGTTTTCCTTCACAACACTTTTTTTTTGTCTTCTGTGTTGTCATGTGCTAGGTCGACTACTCAAAATACTTTGCCATCAACCTGACAACATCCCATCCCCATTATGACAGTGCCGGGAATATTCTCAACATGGGCACTTCCATCGTGGACAAAGGGAAGACAAAATATGTGATCTTTAAAATTCCACCTTCGGCGCCAGGTAAGAAGAGGCACTAGGGAATTAGAAGTTATTTCCTTCTTTTGCTCTTGACCCAAGTGAACGAGCGATTGCCACGTTCTCTTCCTCAGCCTGCAAGGAGGCGAGACATGGGTGCTGTTGGCAGGAGTTCTCAAGTTGGTGAGAATGATTTCGCACAAAATCGTAAGATGGTTTTGCACAAAATTGTAATATGGTTTTGCACAAAATTGTAAGATGGTTTTGCACAAAATTGTAGGATGGTTTTGCACAAAATTGTAAGATGGTTTTGCACAAAATTGTAAGATGGTTTTGCACAAAATTGTAGGATGGTTTTGCACAAAATTGCCTTAGTCTGATTCCGCAGTTACTGTAACCAGGGCTAGAACGGAACAGCTACCCTACATCCCTTGTTGGTTTCCCCACGCAAGCAGCAGTGTGTTCCTGCAAGTGGAGGCAGGTGACTGCCTCAAAAATGGGGACTCCATTTTTCCAGTAAGAGAGAGAATCCATTCCAGGTCTTAGTCTCACTTTAACGGAGCTTTCCAAGGTGCTGACCTCGGCCCTCTGAACTAGAATCAGGACCTGGGATAGCTCCTGCAAGGTTCCAGTAAAAACCTAAAGCCAATTAACTGCCTCCACAAATTTAGAACCATCAGCCTCCACTGGTCTCTGCCCGTACGAAGGCTCTACACATAAGAAAAAAATTCTTTGAAATTGAGTCTTTGCTCATATATAGAGCCTATATATGAGCAGAATTGACTTACTTGCTGATTTATTTATTTAGAAAAACTGGAATCAGGCAGGCAGGGATTTAACTGTTGAAGATCCTGGATACAACGATAGCTGAGCAGGGGCCTCGTTGCACGGATCTTTAAGAACCAGAAGCATTGAAAGGGTTGCCTACCTCTATTCCTCGCAAACAGCCATCCATCCTTTGCTTGCTGCCTTTTCTGTCATTTTTTATTTTAATATGTTCAGACCATGGATAAGTGAATCTGGAGACACTGATCTTGTAGATCCAGGGGTCCTGTTGTATTTTATGCTGCAACACCATTGTTTTTGATAACTGTCCACCCTGGTGAAGAGGCGATAATGACAATTGCACTTCATAATCTAGAGGGCATCAAATTCAGAAAGGATGGTGTAGGGAACTGGAATCCAAAAGGCAGCACATTTTTGTGGGGTTCGTTTTTATTTTTATTTAGAAAGTGAAAAGAAGAAGAAGAAGACCTGCCTGAAATATCTGGAAGTCATGTGTACCATCCCCTCCCGTTCCCTCTTGAACCCAAGCTATTATCACAGCTTTGGCGTGTCAGAAAATTACGTCCTTTTCGTAGAGCAGCCATTCAAACTGGATATACTCAAGATGGCGACAGCCTACATCCGAGGGGTGAGCTGGGCCTCCTGCCTCGTCTTCCAGAAAGACGACAAGGTATATACGACTCCTTCTCTCCTGAGAATTTTCTCCAACACACATTGATTAAATCGGGCATGGGCATTTCTCTCCTAAACTATGCAGATATACTATCTGTTATTACCGTGGTCATATACCTATACAGTGGCGCCTCACAAGACGAATTTAATTCATTCCGCGGTTAATGTTGTCTTGCGAAAAATTCATCTTGCGAAA